GCAGACACGGCTGGATGCCAGCAAGTGGTTCCTGTTCCCCTGAGGGGTTTTGGGGTATGAGGGTGGGAAAGGGTGAGGTCCAGGTTTCATACCTTTAATTTGCTACCAATTTCCTTCTTTGGTAAAGCAAGTAAGCCTTAATCTCCTTATACTGCCCAGGGGATGTATACATAAAACGCGGTCTTGCCCTCAGCACAAGGTGTGAAGAGACAGGAACCAAGGAAGGACAAGTGGGAAGGTTTTGTACGAAGTTGCATCCGCATAAAGGGGATTATTATTCCGCTTCTCAGGAGAAATAAGGTTCTAAGAACAAAATGGAGCCCGCCAGGCTGCTTGTTTTTCCCATCCGTACTGGGACTTGTCGGGGTCTCTGAGTCCCTCTGTCTCCATGTGCTTCTCCCACACCTCAGAGTGTCAGATCAATTCCTCAGGTGTAAATGTCATGAAGGACCTCCTGTGTGCTGGGCCCAGGAACATGCCCTTGGACCCTCAGAAGAGCCCCGTAAGATCAAGCTTATTCTGAGCCCCATCCTACAGAGAGGTCACTGAAGCTCGCAGAGAGGAAGCAACTCATCAACGGTGGCACCGCTGGCCGTGAGGAGCTGGGCCAGACTTCCGGACTATTCCAGCGCTTGCTCTCCTGACCAGCTTGAGGAAGAAAGTTCCTGTGGGCTTCATCAGGTCCCCTCCTTCCTCTTCCAGAGACCCCCAGAAAACAATACATGGAAACAGAAAGAGGCAGATTCCTGCCACCCTGATATAAATAGGCGTTGAAAATGGAAAACACTAGAAACAATAATAGTTACCATTTTTCAAGTTATCTATCATATGCCTGTCACTCAACAGTCGTTTTCTCCTTTATATTCTCAATCATTCTTTGAGGAAGATACTGATATTATTCCGATTTTATAGGCGGGGAAATTGAGACTCACAAAGGCTACGTGATATACCCAAAGATACACAGCTAGCAGATCTATCTTCAAAACCTGTGCTCTACCCCCCACCTATCACGGTTGGTCTCATTCATTCATTCTTTGCTTCATTCATTTAAGCATTAATAGCCTTTCCCTTGTGCTAAGCAACTAGCTAGAAGAAGGAAGTCAGAAATGCCTGAGTCCCTGCCCCAAGGAAGTCATTATCTAGAGAAAGATACAGTTCAAACAATTGTAATCTAAGTGATAGGGCCAGACCTAGTACACTGCTGGTCAGGAGTTTTTGTTTATTTTTTTAACCGAGGTGCTAGAACTCAAGCTTACTACCTGTGTGATCCTTGGCAAATTACTTCACTTCCCTGAATCTCAGTGTTCCATTTTTAAAAAAGGAGAGCAAAATACTTATAGAAAAAAAAATACTTATAGAGTTTTTGTGGGTATTAAATTAACTGAAATAATATTGTATTCATTCATGTATTCATTCATTCAACAAAGTCCTGAACCCTGGCCAATGTGACCTGATTGGTAGAACATCGATCAATCGTCCGGTGCACCAAAGGTCATGGGTTTGATTCCCAGTCAGGGCACATGCCCAGGTTGTGGGTTTGTTCCCAGTCAGGGTGTGTGCAGGAGGCAACTGATGGATGTTTCTTTCTCACATCAGTGTTTCTCTCTCTCTCTCTCTCAAATCAATAAAAAACATATTTTAAAAAAACAACAAATTAGTACGGAGTCCCAGTGTGTGCGGGATTGTTTTTTGGTGCTGGGGATGCTAGCAAGAAGAAGCAGACAGCAGACATTCCCTTGAAACCTGTGAGGGATTTATTTTTTAGTAAAAAATAATAGTACATTTTTTAATTGAAGCATAATATACATGCAGAAAAGTGCAAAAATTGGACGCGTACAGCTCGCTGAATTCTGACAAACGGACACACCCGAGTGAGCAGCACTCTGATTACAAAACATGACCAGTCAGGTCAGAATTAGGGTGTGGCAAGTGAAGCACTCATCTCCCCAGGAAGACTTAAGGGGGTGCCAAAAGCGCAGTCATAAATAGTGTATTTCATAGAGTATTTCCTAAAATCAAAACGAAAGAAAAAAATACCCCACGATGACAAAGTACCAACATTTCAAATAATGACTAGATTAGTACCAGTGCCTGTTGAGTTATATTAAAGCTCAGGGAAAGGGGGGAGGGGGGAATCAGTAATTTGGTGAATTAGAGGAGGGGACCAGAATGGGTAGGGGAAGCTGGTGCGTCTAGAGTTAAACATGAGCAGTGCCAGGTCCCTGTGGGACATGACGAGGGCTGTCCTGGAGACAGCGGGACAGACAAGCCTGATGCTCAGAAGAGAACAGAGGAGTGACGTGTTCCCAGCGTCAGGGAGCGAGTGGTGGCCCTGAGGGATCTTGCAGAGAAGGACACAGAAGGATAAAGAAGGCAAGCAGAACATTCTCTAGGAGCAGGTGGTTTAAACAGGTGTGCCAATGAAAGCGAAAACATGAAGCACAAAAAAACTGTCCTGCTTGGCCCACCAGGCCTCGGAGGAGTCCAACACCGTGTTTACCTGCAGCCGGGAGGATTTGAGATGCAAAACATCCTTCGGTCTGGGACTCCCGCATCCCAGCCCCTGACAGCCGCCCTTGCATCAGCTGCAATTGACTCAGCGGGCCTTTCCTCCAGACTGCCATGACGCTTGCCTTTAAAGGCAAAAAAGAAAATAATAAAAATGTAAAAGCCTTTTCCCCGGGCTGGCGGCTTACTCACAGATGACTCGGGAGATGGGAGGTGGAGCCGCTAGGACTCAGTGCCGCCCCCTCGGCCGCCGCAGGGGGAGCCCACGGAGCCCACAGGCGTGCGCTCCGGCACGCACTCCAGCATCATCTGCCATCACTACCTGGGACCGCCCTGCCGATCCCAGCATGCTCTCTTCCTCCGAGCAGCCAAGCCTGGAATGGCTTGGAATCAAACCCAGAAAAGTCCCCAGTTCCTTCCTGGCGGCCTCAGAGACAAAGCTGCCAGTGTGAACGCAGCTTGGGGAGGGGGCCGCTTGGGCCCTCTGAGATGCCGGCCAGGGCTCCCCGGCACTCTTCACAATCTAAAGCCTCTAGCCTTTAGAGTAGAGGGTAGGGTAGGCCTGAGGGGAGGCTGAGATTGTCGCAAGTCCTTCCTCTGCTCAAAAACCCTCCGTGGCTCTCCTCTGCCTACTGAACCAAGTCCTAACTCCTATACCTGGCATTTGAGGGCCTTTGTGACCCTCAGCCACCATTTAGCTTCTTCTCTCATTCAGATTCCCTCCAGGCTCGTCTCCTCCCTCTCCCAGTCCCCAACCTCCAACACTTCAAGCACAGGGGCTACTTAGCCTGGCTCTCTCTGGCTTAATTAAGCTGCACCTTTATGACCCACTTTCAGGCATTTATTTGTTTATGCTCCCTCTCCCCCCCCCTCCCCCCCCCTTCCACTCCCCAACCCAACCTTCCAGGCTCAGATGTTACTTATTGTTTCTGGTGTTCCTTGGTTGAAGTTCAATCCTATTTCACAGGACTCAGCCACCCCAAAATAGACCAGCCGGCCTGAGAGTCTATCTCTGATCCAGGGTCAATAGCTTCTGTGACTGTACCTCTAAAGACAGCCTCCAGGGGTCATACAACTTTCACAGGGAAACGTTAGAGAAATGAAATTTCAACCAGGTCACGGGTGTCTGTTTGAGCAGGTGTGGTGTGAAAGGCAGGGGTAACGCTGCTTGGTCACTCCATTTTGCCTTCGAGGGCCACCATGGCAATAGGAAGGGGAGTGGTTGAATTTCCGACACCGTGAATTAATACCATTTATTTGGGTAAACTTTCACTCGCATCCATTCACCTCAGGCTTACCCAGGAAGGAACTGGTATACCCGTTTTATAAACGCAGGTCTTGAGGCTCCGAGAGAGAAGGGATCTGCCCGGGGATGTCTGGAAAGTAAACAGCAGAGCTGGGATTCGGTCTTCTGACTCCAGGGCTCCACCATCCGTCTCTGAGCTGGGTGGGAAGATTCTTTCTTCCCTTCAGCAATTACTCTCTGCCTGTCTGCTGTCTCTGCACGAGTTCTTCCCTTTGCCAAGAATGGCCTTTACACTGACTGACCTGGTGACCTCACATTCATTCTTCTAAACCCTGCTGCCTTCCCCCTCCTCCTTCTCCCCCCACCCCAAGATCTCTGCTCTCTCCGTGATACAAATCCTGCTCCTGCGAGCATTCTTACCCCTGCAGTCCACTTGGTGTGGTGGTGCGTCTCCCCTCTTGCGTCCTCTCTAGTTTTGGGTCTCCATGAGGCTAGCTAGCGTAAGGGTCAGGGACCCATACCTCTGTCCCTGGGGAAGTGAGACCCCTAGCTGAGTGGAGCATCCCACTGCTGGGAAGAGGCACACAGAGTAGGCTAGATGTGCTAGGGAACAGAGACTGCGCGCAGGGAGGTGGCAAGACCCAAAAGGCACTCAAGGAAAGTCTAGAAGAGTTGCCAGGAGCCTGGTAGGTCAGTTGGGTACAGCGTCCTCCGGATGCGCCCGTCCATCCTGGGTCAGGGCACATAAAAGAAGCAATCAATCAATGCAAAACAAGCGGAACAACGACTCTCTCTCTCTCTCTCTCTCTCTCTCTCTCTCTCTCTCTCTCTCAAATCAATTAAAAAATAAATAAAGTATTTTTTTTAAAAGGTGGCAGGAAGCAGGCAGATTAACGGCCCCTTCGTTCATCACCTCTGCCTTCCTTCTTCACTCCTTCACCCAAGCGTCTGAGTGACGGGAGTCCTCTCTCGGGCCCCCTCCCCGCGCAGCCCCGCCCCCGACGTGCCCAGGCCCCGCCCCCGCGCCCCCTCCCCCGCCCCAGCACTCACACACACACCAGTGGCGCCAGCCAATGCCCGGGGTCCTATAAACCGTGGAGGTGGCCTCGCGGAGCTCCCAGACCGCGGGTCCTGGGAGAGAGCGCCATCACACTCGCCGTCGTAGTCTCGGGACCTGAGCCGCCCGCCCGCCCGCCCGCCCGCGCGCCCGCTGCACCCGGAGCCTCCGGCGCCACACAGCCCGGCCATGGATCCCAGCGATAAGGTGAGCCGCGCGCTCGCCGGGCCCGGGTCCCTCCGGCCGCCGGCCGCGCCGTGCACCCGGGGAGCGGGCGGCGCGCATCCCGGACCTCCGGGGCGCCGGCCTAGCGCGCGGGGACCGGGCCGCGGAGGTGGCCGGGGCTCGGACCCGGCGCGCTCTCGGCGCCCGCACAGAGAGTGTGTGGCTTCCGGGGCAGCTGCGCGGGACCGGAGGCTCACGTCTCTCACGATCTCCGGGCGCCCGGACTCCTCCTGTGGCACCCATTGGCTGAGCCGGCCGAGCCCCCGGCCCGGGCGGCCCGGCCCCGCGGCGGCGTGCGGAGGAGGCGGGACCCTCCTCCTGCTGGCACCCCGCCGCCGCTCCCCTTTCCCGGGGCGCCGCTGCTCGCGCGGCCTGGGCTCCGGGGCGCAGGGCTCCCCGCTGAGGCCGGGGGACTCCGGCTCCGGGGTGCCCGGAACCTCCCGGGCTTTAGATGAGAAGAAGGCCCTTCTGGGCGAGGAGCGCAGGCCCCGGAGCTTCACGTGGTCCTGGGAGGCACGCTTCCCTCTGGGGCGGGGCCGCCGCCGCGTGTCCCCGGGGCCGGGGCGCGGGAAGGGACCCCAGGCTGAAGGGGAGCCAGAGGAAGGGGGGCTGGGGACCTGGAGGCGCCCCTCTCTGAACTGGGGGACCAGCAGCTCCTCTTCCCTCCGGGACGGCTTTGTCCGACCCAGAACGAGTATGGATCGAGCCCCTCCTGCGTGCAGGACATGGTTTCTTTCCTTCCTCCCAGGTTTTCAAGTCACTTTTTTTTTTTTTCTTCTTGGAAACTTTCCCTCTTATCCGCTTGGATGGTCTCAGCTCTTGGGCTAGGAAGGCGCGAGGATGCGCTTTTTTTTTTTTTAAACTGGGTATCCTGAGCCCTGCACCATCCCTGCCTGCAGGCTACAGAGTTGTGTGGTGCGGGGTCCGGGTCCGGGTCCGGCTGGGCAGAGCGGGAGCCTAACATTGACCCCGGGCTGTGCCCTCAGCGGGAAAAGGCTCCCTCTTTCCTATTGAATCCTGACTGCTGGCTTCACCTCGCTCTGGGGAGCGCGTATTCTGACAGTCCTAGGTTAGCCTGTAATGCTGGGATAGAACCTAAAAAAAAAACAAATGGAAAAGCGCTAGGGGCGAGGGCTTGAGACCACCAAGTCCTCGAACCCTTGCTGTGTTATCTCAGGACCTGGCAGGCCGCTGAACCTCTCTGGGCCTCCGTTTGTCTGTGGGTAAGGCAGATAACTGTGTGCTCCCTCCAGGGTAAGAACTATCTGTTCAGCATGTGATATAGAGGACCCGGGTGTTTATTTGTTGAGTGGATAAGTGAATATTCTGCGTGGAGGTAGAATATGCTTAACAGTGTCCGGGCTGGCATGGCTCAGCAGTGGAGAATATCCTTAACCGTTTGCTAAGCACTTGGCTAGTCAAATGCTTTTCTGAGGTCCTGCAGATGTGGTTTGGAAGTCCAGCTTAGCTCAGTTGCCTTATCTACTTGATAATGTTATTTTCATCATTAGAATAGCTGTAAGAATTCAGAAAGAAAATGTGTGTGTCCTTGTGGATGGTCCATAAATTGTCCTGGCTGATGTGGGCTCCCAGGGTGCATTGCTCTTACCTGGGCCTCAGGTTTCCTGGACCTGAGCTGTGGCCTCTGTCCAGAAGCCTGGCATTCTGACAGTGTGTACTTTCGGGGAACCCCGGGGTGTCTGGGCCTCGAGTACCACTTGGTCAAGGAATCATGAAGGTCCCAGTTCTTCCCCAGTTAGGGGTTTGTCAGGAAGCTGGTTTGCAGAGGTCGCCAGCCCAGGGGTGAGAGATGAGGCAGCTAACGTGGCTGCCCTGCCTCCCCTGTCAGGGCGAAATGAATCACAACCCAATGAAAAACGACTTTCCCGAGGTCACACACCAAGCCTCCTGCCCCAAGACACACTGCCCTCTTCCTAGGGTGACAGAAGAGGGTGAAGGAAAGTCAGAGCAAGAAGGGGCCTTTCATTTGGCAGAACAGGAAACTGAGGCCAGAGAAGCAAGGAGACGTGACCGAGATGAGGCTTTCACAAAATAGTGGAGATGTTCTATAGTATTTAAAGAAAAAAAAAAAAAAAAAAAGATGCTTTCTTCGCCACACCCCGGTCCTCTGTGCCATCCTGCACGCACCCCAAGTGAGGAGGAATTCCCAGACTCCGGGGGGCTTAGCAAGCTCTCTCTGGACTCAGCAAGAGTCTCAGAGTTGGATTAGGCACAACTTGACAACTGAAACCCTTCTGTGAGCGGGAACAACGTGTATCCTCACAAAACTATGACCTTGGGGAAGTGGCTTTCCTCAGAGCTCTGGTTTCTTCCCTCTAACATGGAGGCTCGCTCCCCTGTGGTGGGTGCGGTGAGACAGGCCCGGGGCCCTAAGTCAGAGCAGTGGCTATTTTAAGTGGATACACTCTCAGTCCAGCCTGTTTGGGTGCGCAGGCTATTGTAAACATCTCCATGAGGATCCTTGTCCCGGGCTGAGCCATTCGGGGGACCCGACCTCGCTTGCCCCAGAGCTGGGTCAGCCCCAAATCCCCCCTAATCAGCTTGTGACTTCAGGGAGCTCAGCCTCCTGGTCACGGGGTGTCGCGGCCCAGAGCTCAGCACTGGCTCCAAGGGTACGGGCATCCAGTTCCCCCTCCCCCGGGCTGGCAGAGGTGGGGAGGCCCGGAACAAAGGGGAAAGTGTGTGCGGCACTGGCTGGGGACCCGCAGCCCTTCCCCCACGGCACTCCTGGACAAAAAGGTGAAAAAGCCACGCAGTTTGGTAACCGGCGTCCCCAGGATCGTAGAGGCCGAGGAGGCATCTTACGGGCTCAGAGAGGCTGTGTCCCGGCCCACAGACCCCGCCTGGCCACCAAAACAAACCTCCATTGTTACCTCCGTCCGTCCGTGGGAGGGGTGGAATGGAGCTGGAGGCTCTGCCATCCGGCCAGCTAAGGCGTAAATGCTGGGGTTTGACAGGAACAAGGCCTTGGATTTGGACAGAATGAAGGCAGCACCCATCCTCTCCCAAGACCACCTCTCTGGCGTCTGCCTCCCAGGGGCCTCGGCACCCTGGAAGTTGAGGGAGGGAGAGAGCTTTTGCCAGATCCCAGTTTATGGAGCATTTGGCTACAGAGGGAGGCCTCTCTGTCTGTATCACCTAACCTGGAGCCATCCGTCTGTCCATCCCCCCTCCCCCCCAAATTCCCCCGCCCCCCCCCCCCATGGAGACGGTTGGGAGTGGGGAGGAAAAGGAGGTCCCCTAAGCAACAGCTCCACCATCCGACCTCAGGCCAGCCACACCTCCTATTGGAACTCATTTCATCAACCGCCGCAGTAGGAAAACAGAAAACACCTCTCTGGGTCAGGTTGTGGAATTTTTATTTTTTAATTTAAAAAAATATATATATTTTATTGGTTTTTCACAGAGAAGAAGGGAGAGAGATAGAGAGTTAGAAACATCGATGAGAGAGAGTCATCGATCAGCTGCCTCTTGCGCACCCCCTACTGGGGATGTGCCCGCAACCAAGGTACATGCCCTTGGCCGGAATCGAACCGGGACCCTTCATTCCCCAAGCCGACGCTCTATCCATTGAGCCAAACCGGTCTCGGCTATTTTTTAATCTTTTAATTATAGAAGTATTGGAGGCCACCGTGGAGAAATACACAAAGTAAAAGAGTAAATGCCTTCCCCCAGCTGTAACAGCTTGCTGTTTACCCGCACACACCTCATTTTGTGCGTGTGGATACGTGTGCCAGTAAGTGTACTTTTTATGTAATTGGATCCCGTTCTGCATGGCCCACCACCCGTTAGAAGTAAATTCTCGCAGTTCTTCTCTGCGTGTAGAAGCAAGTACCATTTGTACAAGCTAATTATCTTCCCTTTCTCTACACAAAATGTACATTCTAGTCATTGTTTTGTACTTCGCTTTTTTTTTTTCCTCTGAAAAAAAAATCTACCCTGGGGCTCTATTCCAGATCAAGTACATACAGATGTGTTGTGTTCTTTCCAACTAGCTGCATAGTATTTCATGACAGGCGTGTCCCGTGATTACAAAATGGTACCCCCATCACTTTTTCTTCATGCCACTCATCGCCTGATGTATATCTTAGGTATTTCTTTTCCGTCCTCGCCCTCAACTAAAATATCAAGTTCCAGAAAGGCAGGAATTTGGTGTAGAGTGCCCAATTCCCCATTGACTAGCATAGTGTGGGGAATGTGCATCCAAGCATTATCCTTTCCTTAGTAATGTAATTTATTTTTTGTAGAAAACCTCTCTTATTGAGAACTGGAGGTCTTAGGGGAAAGAGCATGTTCAAGGTCGGGGAAGCTGGAACTTATATTTGTTTGCCGAGAGTGTCGTGGACTTTTGCCTATCCCCATGGTCTTATCAAATTAAATTGACCAGAGTTGAATTGGTACCCATCTCACCACTGAAGGGGTACCCCCTCAGGGTGGCAGCTTCTCCAGATGTCCAGATCCTGATGCAGGGCCCACACACACACACACAGCCCAGGGAGTTAGTTGTTTGTTGTTTGCATTTAACATCTCATTTTATTTTATTTTTTAAATATATATTTTATAGATTTTTTTATAGAGAGGAAAGGAGAGGGATAGAGAGAGAGAATCATTGATCAGCTGCCTCTTGCACACCCCCTACTGGGGATGTGCCCGCAACCCAGGTACATGCCCTTGACCGGAATTGAACCTGGGACCTTTCAGTCCGTAGGCTAATGCTCTATCCACTGAGCCAAACCGGTTTTGCTAACATCTCATTTTAGGAACAGCCCCTTTTTACTTATTTAGGGAGAACGATGTGGTTTTGCCTGAAAGGCTTTGAAAATCCTGTGCCGTTTACCTATCCAGTTTGCACGTTCAGGGGACCTGGGGCTTAAAGTAGAAATTGGCAAACTTTTCTGTGAAGAGCCATGTAGTAAGTAAATACCACCGGCTCTGTCACTGTCAGCCACGATCACTCATCC